TATAAAGGATGTTTTCGACGTCGCACATAGAGTCAATGCATTTTAAATTTGCTAACAAATGAAATCAAACAGCGCAATGAGCACTTGGTTGGTAATATGGAATGTAGTGGAGCAATGGGTACCATCAAGGCCGTTAGGCAATGCAAGACAAAGCTCGTGAGAGTACGTTAAGGTGCTGGATGTAAGTCTGGCTCAAATAAACAAGAGTAAAGCACCCGTGAATCACAAGCGATTAAAAAATCCGAAGTCAAGTTAAATTATTTGAAGTGATGTCATATGCCTAAAGTCCAAATAAGAAAAATCGATGAGGTTGCCGCAGAATAAGTAGGAAAATTGCACTTATTAAAATAGGAGGGAATCGGCTTGTATAAAATGCTATATTTTTTGCCTAAATTCGATGGGGATTGCAAAGAATTTGCATACACGAGATGCAATAAATATGCAGATATCACATAAGCCGAAAAGGACAACAATGAGAATTTAAAATCTTCCGCATGCCGGGCCAGGAGTAAAGAATTTTAGAAAAAGGAATTTGTGGAAGCCGATGTGAAAGAAATAAAATCAATTTAAAGTAAATCAGCAACCCGGCGCTCAAAGCTATTAAATAAAAACATAGTCATTCTTGGGATAGTGAGGGAGGCAGATTATAAAACTAGGGGCGAATAGTAAAATCTGTCATCCAATCAAGGAGTAAAAAGTGGTTTACATAGACAGCAACTGGAATCAAGCTATGAAAAGCCGATGAGCAAGGAACGAGTATGTACAGTGAATCAGACAAGTTTGTCTTCAGCTCATCTGACTGTAAACTGCATTGTTGGCATCCAATAAGGTGGATGACCGAAGGCTCAACAGTCGGGAATATGGCGCGGTGAGGTCGAAGAAATAAGAGTGTTGAGGATGATAATATGCTTATGGGATATATGCGTATATGCGACCATTGAAAATACTGCGAGATTAAATAAAGCTCGTATGTATGAATAAAATTAAATCCGAATTCACCAAACAACAATCAGATCAGAAAAACAGCGTAAAACCATTAGCACATCTAATGTCGGAAGGCTGAGGCGAAGATAGGCAAGCTGACTAGAAAAAATGCTGCCCCAGATTGTTTAATCCCTCGAACAGCGAATGCGTTGGCATGCATCAAGCACTGCTTTTTTTACTTTTCCGTCCCGAGGACAGGCGCTGCTTCATCTTTTTCATTAGCTACCAAAGCAGCAGAGGCCACCACGTTGGCTCGCTCTAATGTTGCCTGCATTTCACCAATGTAATCTGGTAGCTTCAACTCATCAACAAAATCTGCCGAAAGATAATCGTGGCAAGCGAACTTCCAAGTCCACAGGCGTGCCAGTTCCTCAAACTTGTCCCGATTCTCTGTGTACAGTGTCCCGATAACTGGCTCCATGCATACGTGTGTGTAGGGATCAGTGAGAAGAGACTGAATGCTTATTAACAGTTTTTCTAGAGTCAAGGTTAGGCTCCAGTTGTGCCGGATGCAATCAAGCCCAACGTCACCATGAAAACTGATGTTAGGGTGAAGTACGCGAGTGAGAAACCGGATGACTGGTGGCCTCATCGGATGACTATCTGGGATTAGAACGTGCACATAGAAAATACCACCCTCATATGGCGAAGCCGAGGGGCCTGATATACCAGCTAAGCAGTGAGAGTACGTTTCTGTATCCAAAGCAAGAGCTTTTATACCGTATGGGGGGTCAGCACAAAGACTCTCGATCTCGGAGATAATCCGGCGACGTCGGATACTTGAAGACTCGACCAGCCTGAAGATAGCCGGATGCCGGAGGCGTTCTAGGCAAAATCGACAAGTGACGCTCTCCATTAGGTTCAAATAAACCAAGCGCCAGGAAGCAATCTTGTGCCGCGGCGTGAATAATGGCCATCGAAGATGGACAAAGTCAGCCCAACGCATTTCAGAGACTCGGTTATCGATGACCAGGCGACAACGAACTGAGGCTAACCGCAAACACCAGAGCGTCATGTCATCAAGATGATCAAAGATGCGCAATAGAACCTCTGTCGGAAGGTCTTCAAGTCGACAGGGGTCATGACCCCGCACTCCTTTATAGACCTGCTCATCGGTTAAGCTGGTTAGCCCAGGTTTGAAGTCAGCCAAATCTGACAGACTGCTCCGAGATGTTTTTTTCCGGGGTGCACGGCGGATAGGGCTTTGCATAGGCAAGCCAATTCGATGTAGGCCGACAAATTGGTTGTTGTGTCCTGAGGCATCCGAGGCATGGTGAGTAAGAAAAAGTTCATTCGAAGTGAGCGGAGGATGTAGTTGTATATGATGTCTATTGTGGTGCTCATATTGGTGTTGGTGATGTTGATATTGCTGGCGGATATGAAGTTGAAGATGGTGTTGATGATGGTACAGATGCGCCTGATGATCGAATTCGTGTTCGGAACTCAATTGGTCTTGAGCAAACTTGGATCCAAACTGATGAGAGAAAAAAGTTGAAAGCGGGCAAAGCGAAGGTGCATTTGAAAATAGTCCAGGTGTGCAGCGTTCCGGTTGCGAGAAGGACAGTGAAGCAAGGCAGTCTGGGAAGATAAAAAGAGTGCGAAAAATGTGGCAAATTAGCCCTTATTCGATTATTGTTGGTTGTTTAGGAAAGGCTTTATTCTGTGGAAGGGGAAATCATGGAAGTTGCTTTAGAACTCATTTTATATACCGACGATATGAAGACCAAGATGGTGTGACCCTCGGTATCGTCGCAGCCTCCTTTCGATGTGTAGAAGTGGGTTGACCTCGTTTCCGCAAACTCGTCTTGTCAGGGGGACTGTTGGACGCACTTTGTCTAAAGTCCTATACTATAGCGGGTATCATAAGCCCCAACATTCTCAGCACCAAGCTACAACTCGTCAAATAGACAAGTGAAGTCCATCACTTGCATAACCGTTTTGGCAAAAAGTTTGATCGAGGAATAGACTTCACTTATATTTCGTATATAAGCAGAGATTACCAGTCATCATTATTATCATCACAGTAAACGAAATAAGGCGAAAACATCTCATATAACTGATTTACTGGTAGTCTCGAAACTCCGCTTATATACGAAAAATAAGTAGCAGTCTATTGTTATAACAAAAATAGGTATGCTTCATCGGCAATCCAACCAAATAATTAAATATGGAAAGAACTTGGCCTTCCTTGAAATTCATATCTGCCCTGTTACCCAAGAGCACTCATGGAAATGTAGCTAAGTGGTTGACGTGTCAAGCTCACACGTTGCACTGTCACGGTTAGACCTAGGCAAGGTCAAAACTGCAGTCCACCCTATTGGGAAAGCAAGGCTGTGAAATTCA